CTCCCTATCTCAAAAAAACAAAACAAAACAAAACAAAAAACAAGTAATCAACCCATCTATCATCTATAAATACATACATGTTTAATTTTTAATTAAAAATATTTTTTAAAGCCCATATATTTTGTTTTCTTCCACTGGAAGGATACTTCCCTAGAAGAGGTCTTTCTTTCCCTGATTAATTTTCTGTATAGGATTGAACTGAGCCTTCTATTTACTAAGCAAGACTTCTACTACTTCATTACACCGCCAGGCCTGAAAGAGGCCATCTTCCCTGGGAGGCAATTGGGGGGGGGTTGTGTGATTGATCTCCTTCCATTTTAAACAGCTTGGGAAACTAAGTTTCAGTGTCATGCAGAAGGCAGGGTAAGAGATACCAGGGCCATACTCATCAAGGCTAGGAAGTGACCACAAAAGTCAGGCCAAGAGAGCAAGTGAGCCTTTCCTCCTCAGCAGTAAACAGCCCTTCTGCCATTGCTGCCTCCACGGCTCCTCCCAGCCCCTTCTCCATCCCTGGCCCTGATTACCCCAAGTGGGCATCTGGGTGTGAGAGCTTTGCAGGGGCCTCCCCAGAACTATTTTTAACCTGTTATTCTCTGCTTATAGACTTTCTGCAGGGGTACCCCATGTCTAGTAAACACAGCCAACTGTGAAATCTGAGAATTCGACTGGCCTGTGGCAAAAGAGGTATTTTTAGCCCAAACGTGGGGAGCCCAGGTTTTTTGTCTACTTTATAATGGGAAACACAAAACAGAAGAAGTAAAGCTACAGGACCAGCCAACCCCTAAGTTCCCTAGTGACAGTTGAGCTTGCTGGTGGGAGGATTATGTGACTGGACAGAGAGGCCATTGTGGGTCTTTCTCAGCAATTGTGTGTCTCCTCCTCATAGAGTTGTCACCCTGAGCTCCTCCTGAAGGTCAGGTAGCACCCAGGACTTGATGGACTATGGATTTTGAGCCTTGTCCTAGACACACCAAACTAGAAACTGACAGAAGGACCAATAGCCTTTGGGAGCCCAGGCCCACTGGATGATCGCCTGCTGGCACTTTGGTTTGAGACCATCAAAATCATAAACTGACACTCTAAATGTACAGATTCACCCAGCAGTACTTTTTTTTTTAATTAGAGGACTTTAGTTTTAAATATACTTTTTTATGAACTAGGGAAATGGCTCAGTCAGTAAAGACCCCTCTAAGCAAGCATGTGGTCCTGAGTTTGACATCCCAGGATCCCTGTAAAAGCTGGGGTCATGGTATGTATCTGGGCTGGGGGGGGCAGTCAGTGCTGGGGCTGGAGTCAAGAGCATCTCGAGCCAGAGCAACTAAGGAAGGCAACTGAAGTTCACTTATGGCCACCTCGTGAACTCATACATACACACACTTCCCAACATACATGTGTATGTACTCACATTACCACACACATGCACCACACAGTACACACACAATCAACTAAAGAAAATGCTTTCTAGCTTTATCTCCAATATTAAGCAAATAAGAGAGCCAGTAGCTTTTTCCCACTTCCTTTTGTCTGCTATATAGTGTATAAAACCCGCTGTGAAAAGCCTTTCTTCCCTGCTTAAGTCAGTTAAGATACTGAGTGAGTTTTGCCATTAAAGGCTGCAAGTGAATCCAATGAAAAGCAGACTCCAGCAAGGGTGAGCGGGGCAGTAACAGACAGACATCATAACTGTGGATACCCAAATCCAAGTTAAGATGAAGCAGTTCAGGGAAACATGTAGTGATATATTATTTTTGATTTATTAAAGCTTGCCTGAGGATTCAGAAAGCAAAGTCAGCCACAAGCCATAGAAGCCAGGCACACGCCTTTAATCCCAGCAGTCGGAAACAAGGAGGTGATGGTACACACCTTTAATTCTAGGACTCAGGATTAGGAGATAGATCTCTGTGAGTCCAAGGCCGCCCAGATTTACACAAGAGTGAATCAGTCTGAGAGAGAATTATAGTTCATGCCTTTAATCCCAGGACTTATGAGAGGTATATAAGACAGGAACAGATTCAGTAGAGGCATTCATCCTCGTGGAGACAGGATCAGTCCATTCAGCCTGAGGTAGAGGTAAGAAGCTAGCTGCTTTTTTTCTGATCTTCAGCTTGAAGTTTGAACCCCAGTGTCAGTCTCTGGGTCTTTTATTTTTCATGTTACAGGAAAACATTGGGGTGACCTGAGGAGGATGCTAGCAGTGATGTGTCTATCAGTGATGTATGCGTTTCCTATCCATGAGTACAAATCACCACAGGCTGCACGGGCAAAAACAATGTTCTCTTTTCTCCTGGAGGCAGAATCCTGAAGTCAACCTTGTTGGACTAAATCAAGGCTGCTTCCATTGAAGGTAGAGAGGGCAGACTATTGTCTGTCTTCTCAAGCTGTGGCAGCCTGCGTTCCCCAGCATGGGGTCCCTTCTAGTCCTTTCAAGGCACAGCTTCCCACCCATATCTGTAATCATATCACTGTGTGGAAACCCTGACCCAAGGCCTCCTTCTCAGAGGAGTGTTATAATTATATCTCCCACACCCCCAGATAAGCCAGGATGGGCTGATTTCTCCAAATCCACAACTTAACTACACCTGAAGCCTTCCTTTTCTGTTCAAGATGCATTAACAGGTTCTTGATTATGTGTCAACAGCCACTGGGGAGCTCTGTATGGCTCAATGAGATACACACCAGTCATGAACCCTGAGAACTTGAAATCTTCCTTATTTGAATTTACACAAGATAAAAGAGTTGTCAAGCATATGGATTTGTTACAAGAAAAACACAGTAAAATATTTAATAACTATATTTGCTACACATCAAAACTACACAATGTTGGGTATTTGGAGCCCTAGAAAATAATCACTAAAATTCGATTCCTCTGGTTCTGTTGTAAGTGCAACAAGACAGTTATCTGTGGCCACTGTGTTTCTATTGGACAGAGCCCTCATTGACTTGCTTTTGTCTTGCTCACAGGAAAGACTTGATTTTGAGAGGCAACATTTTTTTTTCTTTTAATCTCCTTTTCGAGAACAAGTGACTCCCCTACACCCTTATTTCTTATCAAGAGGGACGTTGTTTTCGGACACACACAACAAAGGGTGCCGCATGACCGCAAAGGAAATGCTACATCTACCCAGCGACTTTTGGGAAGCCCTTCTTCCCAGGTCCTCTCTACATGCCTATGAGAGAAGTATTGTTTCAGGAAAGGAACTTTTAGAGGGACCCCAGTGAGCAGGCAATGAGGAAGAGAATTCAGCAGCTTGCTATGGTCCTTGATTCCAGGGCTGCTTGGGATGGTGGATGTTCCAACTCAGACTGAACTAGGCTCCCTCACTTACCAAATTGTTTTATCCCCAACCTTCCTAAACTCTGGAGACCCCGGAATTCTCCCTCATTACCTGATAATTGGCCCCTTTGCCATTCTGAACACATTTTGTTTGTTCTTTCCTAATTCGTAACTTTAAATGCAAGGCTATTTAAGGAGGAGAGGTTTCCTCTGGTGCCAAGGTCTTCCTCAGTGGTACCCTGGGGCACACATCCCTCCTGACTTGATTCTGGGCCATCTGGTGGACGACTATTTCTGTGACTGCCCCCTCTCCCGTCCTCCCGCCACCCAAGCTTCACACCCAGGCACAGTTTCAGTTCTGACCTGTAGCCAAAGCAGCGACCCTCAGAGAAATCAGGGCTGTGACGGGCTAAACTGCCTGCCAAGTTTGCTCTGATTGGGTTTCCCTGGGTGCTGAACAGGCAATTTTGCCTTTGGCTGAGGTTCAGGGTAATAAGCACTAGAAAACATTCACTGAGAGGAAGACCAGGCTGAGGTCTGTGTGGGCGCGTCTGTGCGGACAGCCCTCCTGTGGCTCTCCCCACATCCACTTCCCACAGAGTTCCTGAATCCTCCCTCGGAATTTCCTGAGGGACAGCAGGGATAAGGACACCTCTTGTTCTAATGAGGTGATTCTGGATTCCTGATGGGCCCCTAAATAGCTCTAGGATGGGATTGGTTGCCAGAAATACTAGACCTTGATTAGAAGCTGGCGGTTTTTGGTCCCCTTCCCCAAAGCAGGTTACTGGAAATTCAATTAACAATCAGTTGTGCCTGTTGGATTAAACCTCCATAGAAGCTCCTGGATGCTGGAATTTGGAGAGTTTCTGAGTTGTTTAGCCAATGCATCCACAGTCAGAGGGCTACACCTGAACCCTACTGCACCTCTTCTCCAGGCTGTACATTAGTACCCTTCATCATAAAGCAGTACATTTAAGGAAAATATCTTCCTGAGTTTCCGGGAGCCATTCCACCAAATCATCACACCTGGATAGTGGGTGTGGGTTATCCATCACTCAGCCCATCACTCAGAAGTCAGGTGGCTAGGGACTGCTAGCTGAATCTGAAGGCAGCGTTGAGGGACAAGCCCTTCAACTCCAGGTAAATTGTCAGAATTGAGTTGAATTATTGGCACTGAGTTGGTGTCAGGGAGTTGGAGAAGTGACCTTCCTTATAAAAATCCCATGCATCTGGTGTCAGGAGGAAAGAGCATGCCAGCTCATCAACTGTCACAAAGGCCAAGCGGGCAGAAGAGAGGAAATGGCACGGGGCCTACTCATTTTCCACCACATTAAAAACACAGCTCCTGGGCACAGAAAATCAGAACTGGTTTGCGCCTGCAATGTCCCCATTTAGTGCTGAACTACAATTTCTGATCTCACTTGACCTGAACAAAAAAAAAATGTCTTAAAGATAAGAGAAATATTAAGTAAACCAATGCCACGTTGACTTCCAAGCCACACAGGCACCCCGCCTATCTGTAGGATGAGGCTCTGGAATACAAAGGTGACATTCATGGGTATCAAAAAAAAAATGTCTTAAAGATAAGAGAAATATTAAGTAAACCAATGCCATGTTGACTTCCAAGCCACACAGGCACCCCGCCTACCTGTAGGATGAGGCTCTGGAATACAAAGGTGACATTCATGGGTATCAAAATAAACCTTGAAACCTCTCAGCAAAGCACCGCACTGGGGAAGGATATAATTTCTATATTGGATTCCACATGTTCTCCGGGGATGGAATAAGGCTCCTCCGTGGAGTACCTAATTAGCTCATTGGCTCCAGCTAGGAAGACAAAATGGCACACATCATTAACACAGGACCATACTGTGAACTATAAGAACAGAGCACAAAAGGCACCAGGGTTATGAAGCAGATTGCTCAATGTCATCTTGTGTTCACTGAGGTCACTGGGTGGAAGGTCAGGTAGGCTGAAATAGAACCTTCACCCAAGTCTCTCTTCCCTGCACTCCTGTTGCAGTTGATTGCTTAGTTAAAAGCTGAGCTTCCCCAGTGCAAGGCACTTCATTTTGTTCATCAATAGATCCCCAAGTGTCTAGTTCCATGCCTGGTATATAAGCTCTTGTCAGCTGGATAAAAGAATCTATTCCTCTCTAGGCCAAGCTGTGCCCAGGAATTCTTCAAAAGCTCAGCACCGAACTCCCAGCCCTGGGAACTGTGTTGCCCTAGCTGGAGAAAGTCACACCAAACTATTCACAAAGAGATCTTTCACCATTTGGGAGGCTGTGGAGCCCCTAAGAAAGATTTCCTGGTATTGTCAGCTTCAGCACAGAGACGCATGCCTGTAATCCCATGGGAAGAAGGGCAGAAGAATCAGGGATTCAAGGCTACATATGGCGTTTGAGCCCAGCCTGTGCTGCATGAGACGCTGTTTCAGAAAGACAAAAGCAAAACCAGAAGCCTCCTGATGTTACCTTCTCTAGTAGGCTGCAGGGGGCACTCTAACTAAATGACATGTGCCACGGAGGTAGAAGGACTTTTCTTTAACCACACTCCCTCCCCAAGCCTCAAGCACCACCACTCCTAGCTACTGGAAACAAAAACTCTTCAAATGCTATGGACCTAAAGGGCCTGTGAGCTAAGCAAGTATATGAGTACTGGCAGAATGGCCTTTACAAGCTCTCTTCTAAGTCAGCCTGGTGGCTCACTATCCTTCCTTCTCCATACGCATCACCAAGAGCTTCTTATAGCATCAGCACCACTGCTGAATGTGACACATGCCACCTGCGGGCCTCTCTAGACCTTCCACCGGCCCAGTCAGGAACGGGTATGCATTTGTCACCGCAGGTTCTATGGGGTTAGACATAAAGAAATGTCCCCCAGGAAGGCTGATGGAGCAAGCAAGAGCCTACAGGCTGAGAAAAAAGACAAAATTTACAGGCACTGGACACCTTTCCGCAGAGCTCAGCAAACTCTACGAGTGAAACAAGGTAGCCTGTTCCCCAAAGCATCATGGTTCGATTTTCATAAAGACTAGAGAAAATGGCCAGGCAGTGGTGGCACATGCCTTTGATCCCAGCACTCAGGAGGCAGAGGCAGGCCAATCTCTGTGAGTTCAAGGCCAGCCAGAGTGAGTACCAGGACAGCTAAGGGAAAGCTTGTCTTGGGCGGGGGAAGACTGGAGAAAATCTTGGGACGGTTACAACCCGAAAAAGGGCTGTTAGCCATGTGGTTCAATGCTCAGAGCTCCCCACCCAGGTAGAAAGCTTTCATTAGCAGAGCATCGTCTCCCAACCGCACAGGGACTATGTGTTCCCAAGAACAATAAACTTATGTGCATTACTTAGAGTTCTCAATCTTCCTAATAGTGCAACCCTATAATACAGTCCCTCATGTTGTGGTGACCTCCATCCATAAAATCTCTTAGTCGCTAATTCATAACTGTAATTTGGCTACTGTTATGAATCATAATGTAAATATCTGATTTGTGACCCACAGGTTGAGAACAACTGATCTAAAGCATGTTTGCCAAAGAAGAAAGAGAAGTAAGAAATGGAAGTGAATTAAAGGTAACAACACACTTGAGTTAGGGTGAACTGCCAATCCAACATGACAGGTGCCCTGAAGACAATAGGAGAGACATGAAGAGAAGGGCATGTGACAATGTAGGCAGAGACTAGAGTGACTCATAAGCCAAGGAGTACTGAGGAATGTCAGCAGAAGCTAGGAAGATTAAGGGAAGGATTCACCCACAAACTCTTCAGAGGGATCAAGACCCTAGCAACACCTTGATATCAAGTGTGTGGCCCCAAAATCTGTGGGCACAGACTCTTCTGTAGTTTCCGTGTTATCATAGAAGCCATGGGAAATTGACACAGCACCTATCTCTACTATCTCCTGGACAAGAGCTAGTTCCAGGACAGCCTGCAAAGCCACAGAAAAACAAAAAAACAAACAGACAAACAAAAAAAGAGGGGTACTTTGTGACCCACCAATCCTACTCTAAATACTAAAGAAATAAACAATGTTTCCTTTATTCACTAGTTCCTCCATTTGCACCAGAGAGAGGATAGGGGCAGGTGGAGATTGACATTTGGAGGAACAAGCAAAGAAAATCTGGGTTTACCTGACCTCTTAGTGGGGACCTAGAACTTCAGTATCCTTAAGCCAACCAGTATGGTTTTCTGCTCGGCAAGGCAAAATAGATGGGGCAAATACAGCATGAATGCATACTTGTTAATTATCTTATTAAGGCAAAGATGATGGGCTAAGTAATCCTTGCCTATGCTGGACCTTTGCAGCAAACGGTGGCAGAGTTCTTCCTTATCCCCAGGGAGTTCCAATGACAGCACTGGGAGAGACATATCTTTGTCTAGGGTAAGAGAAAGAGGACAAAAGTAATGGAGCTGCATTCCCAGTGTGGTAGTTGCATAATGAAGGATGGAGAGAGGAGACAGTGACTCTTCTCTCTCTCTCTGGAGACACTGCCCTCCCATTCTCTCCCTGACAGTACAGGGGGTCACTCCGGTGTGGTGGCACTTGCTGGCTCTGTTGCCTTGCCTGCCCAAGTGACCCCCTCCACTGTCAGAGAGAGACATGGAACAAATCTCAGAGGCTGCTTTTATTAAAGGATCAGACTCAAGGAGGCCTGAGGATATCTAACAGATAACAAAAACTACTTTTTTATCTTCACTTTGCATCTCCTTTTGCCATAAACTTCCGGTCTGCTTCCTGCTTAGCTCTGCACACAGGCATGCAATTATTTAAAGAATGTCTATCTGCAAATGGTCACATGGGGGTGATGAGCTCTAAATAAACCCGATTCTCTTGTTTCCCTTCAAGCCTGAAGCACAAGCCAGCTTTGTAGGGACATGACGACACCGTCTTCCACCAGCTTTTATGATACCTGTTCCGGATGCCCCAAAGTGGCGTCTCAAAAGTCGCAGTGGTTGCACTGAAACGTTCCAGGAGCAGTGGGCCTTAGAGGGATGGCAGCCCACAGTGAGACTCAGAAGCAATTGTTACACAGGAGCAAACACCCCAGTCTGGACACTACCCTGGATGACTTCCCTAGAGCCTTACAGACCCCGAACTGAGATAACCACAGCGAGTCTAACTGCACTTATGTGTTGTACCTCTTGACCCTACCGGGTCCTTCCCCTGTTTAATCCTGAAGTCATGCGGTCCCTCCCCCATCCCTATCCTTTTCTTTCCAATATGGCAGATACAATAGCCCTGCTGTCCACTTTGCTATCACCGAGATTTCTGCATCTTTAAGGGGAAAGTTTATGGTGGAATCAATTCTGTGTCTTAAAAAAAAAAAAAATCCTCATTCTTGAAAAGCATTTCTTCCCTCTCCTTACCCCACTGGAAGGACAACTTAGGCTTTTATTTGTATTGTAACCCTACCCAACAAGGAACTTTCTGGAATGGGCCCCCTCCCCTAGGAAAGTTTCACAGCTTCCTGAGGTTCAGGTTACTCCATGCTCCCAGCACTCTAAAGCTAATTCATACAATGAAAATGTGTGGAGTCCTAGGGAGGAATCTACAGGTCTTAACTGCTTCACTGAGCGCCTATGCAGGCAGGCATTTATCAACTCCAGAACCCTGGTGTTAGAAACTGATTTTGAGCCAAATACAAGACTAGTGGATACCCGAAAGCCATCGAATGTTGGTGGTATTGTGACTTGACATATACGCCCCCCAAAAACCTAGTTTTGTTGTTTGTTTGAGGGATTGTCAAAATAGTGTTTGCACCACTTCTAACTTCAACTCTACCAGAATGCGTCCTTGAACAACAATCAATAGCGATTCCTGGCTTGGCTCCCTTTTTGGTGACACTCTCATATTCTCTTGCAGACTTTCGTGTCCATCAGTAAAGTCCTTCAAAATCTTAAAAATGGAATAACTATAAGCACAGTCATGGTCGTAGAGACCCTTGGAGCCCTGTACAGCAAGCTTCTTCAGCACCTTGTTCCAGGAAGTTTCAGTGGGAGAGGATTGCCAGGACAACTTTCCTGAGGGGCTAGAAACTGAGGCCCCCAACTCGGTCTCCAAAATGGGAAGCCTCGCAGAGCGCCTACACTGCCATCCTCCGGCCTCCAGAGCGCCCACATGGAAATCCCAGACTGAGTTCTAGCAGGACCCGACAGGACACCTAACCAGCCCTTTCCCGCTGACACTGACTGGTCCTGTCTGCCTCTGCGCCTCTGGGACCCTGGCGGGGACCAGCAGATTCCAGGACGCTAATGACGCCGCAGAATAGGGCGGCTGCAACCTAGACTGTTTCCCTAGTCAGAGGAACCCTTTGCAGTGCCCTTCCCTTTCTCTGGAGAGCGTGGCAGCAAGGCCACCCCTTCCCACGACTGCTTGAAAACCTTCCCAAACCCAAGCAGCTCAAAGACTGTGTCACAACCCGCGGACAGCGCCCGGAGCTTCGGGGGCCAATACCCGCCTGAGAAAAAGTTTGCGAGCGTTCCCGGCACTCGCTTCCGCGGTTCCAACACATAGGAGATTACCACGGGGCTCTGACTGGTCCCCAAGGGGGAACACTTCTGCAAAGGGCACCTAGTCACTGCACGCGCAGCCCGACTGAGAGCAGTAGGGATCGCAGGCTTACGTCTGGGCCAGGCGGGGCTCCGACGCAATCCTTCCAGCTGCCGAGAGCCTGGAACGTGGGTCCGGAGAGGAAGCCACCGGTCCCCGAGTGGCTGGGTCCGACGGCTCCACCTGCAGCCTCCCCCAGAACGCGCGCGCAGCCAAGCCCACTCGGTGCTTGGAGGGAGGCAGTAGAAGGGACTCTGCAGGAGAGGTAGCATCGCCCAGGACAGGAGCAGCGGGCTGTCCTCACAGAGCCGACCCGAACGCTGAAGAAAACCCTGCCCATGACTGCCAGCGTCCCCGACGCCAGGCCACCAGAGTCGAGGACTGTCCGCCTAGGGACCGGCTGCAGGGCAGTAAGCATGCCGCTGAGAAATGGCACTGACCCACGGACAGGAAGGAGATGGCACTCACGGTCAGGAGGGAAGAAGGGACAGGGAGAAAAGGATTGATTCTGAAGCCACCAGGACTCAAGCTACGCAACCTGTGTGCGGGAGGAGCACGGAGTGAGGATCTTACCCTCTTTGGAGCGCTAGCTCGGCGACTGCGCTCCTCCGGATCAAGGGCGGGAGGCCGTTTCGTGAACATTATCTTTTTCCTCAGTCCACTCTTATCTCGGTCGCTTTTCTCTGCTCTATGGGAGAGGCACTATGGATGTCTTTCTCCTCACTCAGAGTGAAGTTGTACTCAGGGGATGGGAGCCCCATATTTTGTCTGCTGGGCAGACCCCACCCGCAGACCACTCCCTCCCTTCACTCACGTCTCTGGGTCCTACCCATAACCCTTAATGATAGTTCCTCCATACCCACCCCTGCCTTCAAAAAAAGTTATGCTTCTAAGGCAGATGGGACATCAAGAGTCTACTGCCTCCATCCTCCACACCAGGAAACAAAAACAAAAACAAAAAACAAACAAACAAACAAACAAAAAAAACCTTAAACTACAGGACAGGCACATCAAAGGTCAGAACTTTATTACAGTGACAGTGTAAGAGACTGCTCTCCTCAACACATCCCAAGACACCCTATCCCTCCAAGCAGAAATCTAGCCAGCAAAGTACCAAAATGATGCCACAGGCACTGGCGATTCAATGCCAAGTTTGTCGAAAAGATGAAAGGTTTTGAAGGCAGGCATTATTTGCATCACGCAAATTGCAAATCTGTCTTCTGCTACAAGATTAGGGAGGAAACTGCTTTTGCAAGACGTTGCTCAGGTTTCATGGACCAGGAGAACTCAAGCCTGGGTCTGCCTGCCAAGAGCATCCACAGGCTGATGTCAGGGGCCAGCCAATCCACGCCTGTCCTTCACAGGGAGCCACGTTCCTAAGGCATCAAGGGGAGGCACTAGAGGCATTCCACTGCACAAGTTACTTTGCCACTTGAAGACCAAGGAGGGAGCTGGGAAGAATGGAAGG